AAAAAACCACACCAAATGAATGAAAGTATAGATATTTCAGTGACAGAGTAAAAAAACAAACTTCTCTCATGCCTCAACCGCAACAAAAGGAGACGGGTCTGCCAGGCAAATATCTGCAGAGTGTCACTGATCAATGTCAGAATGACAGACTGCTCCCTTTCTCCCTCTTCCCCCCTGGGTGTCATCTACAGTGAGGCCACAGAATACGAGAAAAGAGACAGAACGTCCTGACGTTCAATTTCAGACTAGAAAAACCTTGTATGTGATGTAGTAGAATACGAGAATAACGGATAGTAGGCTACGTCATAACGTTAAGTTTCTAGTTAGAAAAGTCTTGTGAGGTCATAGAATACGAGAAAAAGGACAGAACATCGAAATGTTAAGTTTCAAGTTAGAGAAGTCTTCCCAGGTCACTAGGTCACAGAATACGAGAAAAAGGGATAGTACGTCATAACGTTAAGTTTCTAGTTAGAAAAGTCTTGTGAGGCCATAGCATACGAGAAAAAGGTATAGTACGCGATCACGTTAAGTTTCTAATTAGAAAAATCTTGTGAGGTCACAGAATATGAGAAAAAGGGATAGTACGTCATGTGAAGCAAGGACAATCAAAAGACAGCTGGGAAGAACAATTGATGCGACGGAGTTGAGGCTCATAAGACGCACGCTGCGTATCCCATGGACAGCAAGAAAAACAAAAAAAGAAGTCTTGGTTGAAGCAAATTGCAGACGACAGCTTATGACGAATATACAAAAGCGACAGGCAAGTTTTATTGGACACACAATGCAGAAAGAAGCATTGGAGAATATTGTAACAACAGGTCACAGAATATGAGAAAAAGGGATAGTACGCAATCACGTTACATCTCTGGCTAGAAAAATACGTGTAAGGTCATGGAATACGAGAATAAGAGGCAGAACGTCTTAACATAAAATTGCTGACTAGAAAAGTCTTGTGAGGTCACAGAATACAAGAAAAGAAACAGAATAAATTATTAGTTTGATTAATTCCTTGCTTTAAAAACAGTTTTGTATTGAATCAAACGAAGGCTTAGGGGGTATTGCACGTTAAGCTGAAACTAACAGTTGTCCATCCTCTTTTGTGATAAGAAAATAACATATTGTGCAATCTTAAATTGGTAAAGATAGTTCTTTTTGTGGTCTTAAAAACTATGCAAAAAAAATTCGCAACGCATTTCGTCAAGATAACTACATAAACAATAAGTTCTCATTCTCTCCAGGAATCACTGTCGCTAACATACCGGGTGTCTAAAAAAAGAGTACCCATTTAAAGAGCAATAATTCTGTCATCTTTGGACCAATTTTAAGAAAACTTCGAAGACATTTAATTCAATCAGGGGGACATTATATCTGTTAATATGGAAAAAAAATCAGCGTACTTGTTCAAGCAAAAATTCTGATAAAAAATTGAGTGAAAGCAAAACTTTGCAACTTCTTAAAAATCCTCCGTTTTGTTCATTTGAAATTGTCACTGTTTGTTCTGTTAAAAATGTCAATGGGCGGTACGAATATTTCAGCTTCTTTAAAGGTGGCACAAATATGGCTCTGGAAAAAAGAAAATATTGACAAGCCCTGCTATTGATTGTCAATTCCCACATGGACCATTACACGGCTAGTTGATGATCGTGTGTCCTTTTTAGCCTAAATCTCATTCAATATCGGAATGCCCTATGCCGGCCTTTCGCTTTGATACGTAATATAAATCTCTCTATTCCTCTGGATACATACAGTGTGTCAGACTGTTACGCCCTCTAGCGCTACTATTTTTCTACATCTGATTCATCGGAATTCGAGGTTTTTGTTATTGTGCTGTCTGTTCTGTTTCCGTATCTGTTGTCCAGGATTCTGGCAAAAGCAAACTATATGCATGTTTTTCTGTTGAGTTGGCGTGTACAGTAGCTCGGGCAGCAAAATCTTCTGAGCAAACAAGAGTTAAAGAAGCTTTGCGTGTGTGAGAGTCAGAGGGAGAATAAGAGTGAGGGAGGGAGGGGTGACAGTGAGAGCGAGAGTGAGAGAGAGAGAGAGAG